AGAGACAAAAATGTCCTTACTAAAAATATGAAAATTCATGAGAATAACTAAAAGTGTCCAAAAAAAATTAATAGCTTGAAATGTTAAATGGCAAAAACGATAGTCTATAACTAAATTTAACATGAGTTAATACCCAAAATTGTCCTCGACTATAATGGTTTTTCTCAATTTTGTCCGAAACGACTTTGGTGTCATAATCAATGTTGCAAAAATCCTGCCTAGGCACCGATTAATCGGTAATCGGCGCCTAGACGCTGGCCGGCCGCCTAGCGTATCACCATAATTGGTGGTCTAGGCGGCTGGCCGACTAGGCCGCCTAAGTGTTGCCTAGGCCGTCTAGGCGCTGACCGTCTAGGCTTCCTAGGCGCCGACTAGGCCTCCTAGGCACCGACTAGGCCGCCTAGGCACCGACTAAGGTCGCCTAGTCGGCCAATTAGCTATTGTTCTCTTCTTTTTTAAATGGGTTATTTCACTCAAAACGACATCGTTTTGAGCGAAGTAACATTAAATTATTCAAACTCTAGTTATTTGTTAGTTTAATATTTAATATTTTAGTATTAACTATTAAAGTATTCAATAGTTTATAATTATCAAGTATTAAAAATTTTAAAAATTTTAAACAAATTTCTAAAAAATAGAAAATAAAATAAAAATACAGGGGCGTCTAATCGCCGATTAATCCCCGCCTAGGCGCCCTAGGTGCTCCCAGGCGTCCGAGGAGCGCCTAGCGACTTTTGTGTTATCGCTCAATATTCTCCTCCGTTTGTTAATCCGTCAAAAGGGTATTAAGTACAAGAATAATTTAGTAATTTCAAATTTAGGTCTTCTCACACTTCTCTCGCTGCAAATTCTTCTAACACTTCATCCTAAATTTGAGAGGACATACACTTAGACAAAGTATATTTTAAATCCAGGGATGGGTTAGAAATAATACGGAGTAACTTTTAATTTGTATATATGGACATATACTTGCAATTTTATTATATAAAGAGGGAAGGCTACGTATATAGCTTTGGCTCGGATACGCAACACTATTTTCCTGAAGCTTCAAAGAAATCAAAATCTCAAGTTAACAGAAATTCAACAAATGAGGATAGAAAATAAATTTATCCAACAAGAACTTGAAAAGATAGGTGCTATATATACACAATTTAGTGTAAATCCTAAATTGTTAAGTCCTTTAAACTTAAATAACAACTCTGATCAGTATCCAGGTTTATTCCATGGCAGCCTTGGGAGATGATAATAACATGAGTTTCATTCTGAGTATTTTCTTGTGAAGGATCTCTTGACCAAGGAGGTGCTTTTTAAGGGGGGCGCGTCGGGCGATTTATATACCTGGCATGTTTCCTGTCGTAGTTCGTCTGCTAATGTTGCTGCGCGTGTGTCATCTTCTACTTGGCACCAGCGGCTTGGTCATCCACACACACGAGTTTTGCGTCAAATTTTACAGTTGTCTGGTGTTAGTCAATTTAATTTTAGTGAATTGTCAAATGTTTGTTCGTCGTGTCAGTTAGGGAAATCTTCCCGTTTTTCATTACCTCGTGTTGCTACTTCGAGTACTCGTGTTTTAGAACTAGTTTATACTGATATTTGGGGCCCTGCGCCAATAACATCTGTTAATGGTTTTCGTTACTTCGTTTTATTTGTGGATGACTTTACGCGTTTTGTTTGGTTTTATCCTATGCGTGCAAAAACCGATATCTATGCTATCTTTGAACGTTTTCGATCTCTTGTTGAGCGTTCATTCTCACATAAAATAATTGTCATTCAGTCTGATTTAGGGGGAGAGTACAAAAAGCTCCACTCTACGTTTGTGTCTCTTGGTATCCGTCACAGGCAGTCCTGTGCGTATACGCATGAGTAGAATGGTCGAGTAGAACGTCGCCATAGGCATATAGTTGAAACTGGGTTGGCCTTAATGGCTCAGGCTTCTGTTCCCTCTTGTTATTGGGATTTTGCGTTTGAAACGGCAGTCTACTTGATTAATAAGATGCCTACTCGGGTTTTGGATAATGAGTCTCCTCATTATCGTTTACATCGTTCTCCTCCATCTTACTCTTTTTTGCATGTTTTTGGTTGTCTTTGTTTTCCTCTGCTGCGTCCATATAATCGTAATAAACTGCAGTATCGTTTGTCCCCGTGTGTTTTCTTAGGTTATCCTGACTCTTTCCGTGGCTATCGTTGTTTAGATACTGTCACTAATAAAGTCTTTATCTGTCGCCATGTGCGATTCGATGAGGCTGTTTTCCCATTTGCTAGTGGTGTTTCTATGCAGGTTGTTGCCAAGCCCCGGGCTGTCCCGTGGGGTGTTGCTCCCGTTGTTTCTGTTCCTGCGCCAGTTTTGCCTGCTAGGGAGGCGCAGCCGGTTTCTACCCCCGTGGTCCCGGACTCGGATTCTAGTGAGCGGATAGTATCTGACTGTGGGCAGGTCGCTCGTCGTGGTCGGGCGTGTCGGGGTTGTGGTGCCAAGGTTGTTGGGCCGCGATCTCATGTGATGGGCACACAGAGTATGGGTCCTAAAGATCATGTTGCTTTATTAATTGCTGCTGATGAACTTGAGCCCACGTGTTATTCGCAGGCTGTGCGGCATCCTGAGTGGCGTGAGGCCATGGATGTGGAGTTTAATGCTTTGTTGCAGAACCATACGTGGCGTTTTGTTCCTTACACTCTGGGTATGAATGTTGTGGGGTGTAAGTGGGTGTTTCGGGTCAAGTGAAATGTTGATGGATCTGTTGAACGACACAAGGCCCGGCTGGTGGCTAAGGGTTTTAATCAGGTTGCAGGGAAGGACTTTTTCGAGACCTTCAGTCTGGTTGTTAAGCCTACCACGGTTCGGCTTTTACTTTCCTTAGCTTATTCCCGTGGTTGGTCCATCCGGCAGCTGGATGTTCACAATGCGTTTCTGAATGGTTCCCTTGCTGAGACTATGTATATGCATCAGCCGCCTGGCTATGAGGACAAGTCGAAACCTGATTATGTGTGCTTCCTGCAACGCTCTCTATGGCTTGAAGCAGGTCCCTCGTGCCTGGTTCACTCGGTTACACGACTTTCTTTGTTCTGTTGGCTTTGTTCCTTCTAAGACTGATGTGTCATTGTTTATTTATTCTGATGGTGATGTGCAGTTGTATTTTTTGGTATATGTCGATGACATTCTGGTCATGGGCTCGGATCCACAGCGGGTCTCAGGTATTGTGGCCAAGTTGGCTGCGGAGTTCAAGATTCGGGATATTGGGGCTCCGTCGTTTTTTCTTGGCATTGAGACTGTGCCACTCTCAGATGGTGTTCTGCTCTCCCAGAGGCGTTATATTCAGGATATTCTTAAGCGTGCCGGCATGGTGGATTGCAAGCCGGTCTCGACCCCGGTTTCAGTTGTTCGGTCTGATGATGTTGACACCACTCCTTATGCCGATCCCACTCACTATCGCAGTATCGCGGGTGCACTGCAGTACTTGACTGTGACTCGCCCTGATTTATCTTATGCAGTTAATAGGCTCTGTCAGCACATGCAGTCTCCTACCACGGCTGATTGGAGTCTGATGAAGCGGGTGTTACGGTATGTTAAGGGCACTCTTGGTCTTGGTCTCTGTATTCGCAGGTCTCTGTCTTCTGCTGTTCATGCTTTTCCTGACTCGGATTGGGCTGGCAACCCGGACGATAAGAAGTCTACCAGTGGTTTTGCAGTCTATGTAGGCAGCAATCTGGTTTCCTAGTCGTGTAGGAAGCAGCGCACGGTGGCGCGTTCTTCTACTGAAGCTGAATACAAGGCCTTAGCTGATGTCTCGACTGAGGTTACGTGGCTCGTTTCACTGCTTAAAGAGATTGATTTTCCGCCAGTTTCTGCTCCAACTCTGTGGTGTGACAACTTGGGTGCCACCTATCTGTGTTCGAACCCGGTGTTCCATGCCCAAACGAAGCATGTGGAGATTGATTATCACTTCGTTCGTGACAAGGTTGCCAAGAAGGAGATTCAGGTCCACTTTATTTCTACGAAGGATCAACTGGCAGACGTTTTCACCAAGGCTCTTCCGTCTACTCGGTTTTCTTTCCTACGAGACAAACTCAATGTTGCAACTGCCCCGTCTTGAGTTTGAGGGGGAGTATTAGGACTCTTATACTAGTAGTTCGTTAGGACTCTTTATCTACTCTCTATATCATTGTTTGTACAGACTCAGTTACGATTGATATTCATAATCAAATCCTCATCCAGCTCACTAAATGATGAAACACAAGCTCCTTCTAATGAAAATTAAGTACTTCATGTTTTTTAGACTTTTTTTTGTTGTTGTTGTGTATGGCAATAGTGTACTGTTTAAATATTTATGCACATGATACTATCTTTTTATTGTAAATAATTTTTTATATTTAAATATATATACTATTGAAGACATTATAGTAAATTGATCCATATAACCTAAAATATAACTCTTAATCAAACAAGATAATATTATATTCCGCAATCCAAACCAAACACATAAGATAATCTTACATTTCCAAAATCTCAGATTACCTCACATTACCTGGGGGTAATCCAAAATGCACCTAATAGTTAAGTTTTTTAGAAGGAATCAAGAAAATGAGATTCAAGAAATACATGTGTCCTTCCTTGGTTAGTATCAACTGTAATCTGAGTGTCCACCCGTTTTACAATATAAATACAAATAAATTTAATAGAAAACAAGAAAATTTCTGTAGGGAGGAGAGGGTTAGAATCCACAATCAAAATGTGGATCAAAGAATTGGTTTGCTGTTCAGTAGAATGTAATAAAAATATGTATTTGGTGGAACTACATACTAGCAACTGCTGGCAATGCTGCTTACCAATTGTTATACCATGAACCAAGTCCATTTTGCATTGTTGACCTTGACCCAAATATTATGTATCTACAGATTAACTTATTATGTGTCTTTAATTAAGAAATTGTGTCTGTAAATAAATTGGAGACAGATAATATTAACTATAGACGCATAATATGTTAACTACAGACACATAATGTGTTAACATATTATGTTTATGTGTCTGCAATTAACATATTATGTGTCTGTAGCCTTTGGTTTATTTACGGACACATAATAAGTTAACTCCAAGCACATAATCTGAAAATTATTTTGAATCAAGTTTCACAATGCCATGGTATAATTTGCCGCTGCTTACTGTACTCGACAGCCTTGTGCCTCCGCCCTCATGAAAATAAGGGCTCGACTTATCCTCTGCAGAAGAAAGAAATCGAGTGCTGCAATTAGCATGGATGTCCCCAAGGGGAAAAAGAAGAATAATCTGTTTGTCCATCAGTTCTTCCCTGCTAAATTTTTGAAATAGAAATGAGACAAGAAGAGAAAAAGAGCGAGAAATAGACGAGGCTAGAGATAAACAAATTCGATCGAGAAGGAGAAAAAGGATTCGTTATGGTGTAGACACTCCAGTCCAAGATGTGCTTCCACATTTACTCAATTGAGGATATTCGATTCCAAGCAACATTGGTCCTTATAATATGAACAACTAATGGATAACTATTACTTGAACGTTCACGGGCTTAGCTCACTGGTTCAGTAGTCACTTTCTAACACCAACAGTGTGGATGCGTTACGAAGCTCTACAGGACTCGACATGGGCAACATAGCGGCAAAAGTGGCATGCAATTATGATAAGAAAAAGAAAATACCTCTTTCGTATCTCTTATCCGTAAGAGATCTAATCTCTCTGATGGGCTTGGATTTGCCACTGTTGCCAGCTGCATTCATTCAGGCAACAAGAGTAAGCAACTGATCTATACTTTTTCTTTTCTTTTTTTTTTTTTTTTTAATTCTCTTTGATTGAATCTGCTTCAAAATTTATACCCAGAAACTGAAGCGCTCAGGATCGCGTGTTGAGGGCATTAATCCCTCTGCTTTATGGAGTTCCACAAGTCGCATGCGATCTGAAAACAAACTGTCATTTAATACAAGTGGAAACAAATATTCTCAACAAAAATTTAGTGCTCTAGATAATTCAACGAATCGAATGCAAGATACTGCAAGTGGGATCAAGCAAATTAGAGAGACCAAGAAGAATGGGTCACAACTCACCACACTACAGGAACCAACAAAGGATTACTAAAACTCTATTTCCTATTCGTCAATTATTTACCTCCTTGAGCTGCTTCTTTTGCCCGCCTCAACCATTCTCGAGCATATGCTGCTGACCTATTAATAACCTCCTGTAACTATAAAATTTGAGGAATTAAACCAAATCTACATCACAACAAACACCTCAAATGAGCACGTTACAATGGTCAAGATGCTAGATGAAGAACTCAAATTCAGCAAAGATATAAAGCCTAGTAAGGCAATATGTAACTTCTAAACAAAAAACATACTTTTCAGAACAAAGATTATAGTATATGTTAGATGACATTAAACAAGGTTGGGCTGTAGTGGCCAAGTGCTCACACATTAACCTTCTAGAAACTCGTAATGGGTTCAAACCCTAGAAACAACATCTATAAATAATTTTTTTTTTTTTAAAGACGTAAAGCAAGTACATATCTTCCATGATGGAGGTGCCATGTGCACAGAGTCTGACCTTCATTCCTCTTTATATAACAATATAAAGAATAACTAGAAACATAATGGGGGTGTTTGGTAAATAGCTGTTAGCTGTTAGCTGTTAGCTGATTGGGTTAGTGGGTTTAACTAGTTGATAGCATTAGCTGATTGTAGAAAAATGTTTGGTAAATTAGTTGTTAGCTGATAGCTGATTACATGCAAAATGACTTTCTCAAAAAGCTGATCAAAAAAACTACTTTGAGTAGCTTTTTGAATTTTAACGTCTTGGAACAATAAGCTGTTACAAAAAGCTAATTAATCAAACACTTGTATTGGTTGTTAAACCAAGTCAAACAGCTAATAGTGGCCAAATAAGCCAAAATTGGCCGACCGATAAGCTAACTATGTTACCAAACAGAGCCTATATGAAAGAACTCAATAACCAAGAAATGCATAAACCACTCAAAATGAGGGGGGAATAATAGCATTCACAGAAATATTTTGTAGTGGACGGTTCTCAAAGGTGCAAAACCAGGATTACATAAACAGATAAACTGCATGTTTGAATCTTTAAATAGAATAACTTACTTCATTCATCTCTATTGTCCCTTCTGCCGGATAAATATCCTGTACCCATTCGACTTCAGCTACTCGATATCTTCAGTAAGACAGTGAGAAAACATAAGGAAGCATATGGCAAAAGATATAGCATTTGAAAGGCACTCAATAGTTTAATTAAACTAACCCATCTTGATCCCAGTTACGAACAAAGCGACATCTTCGACGACTTTCTATCTGTTTGAATTTGTATCTTATTAGACAAATGAGTAGAATGTAACATTGATAACAAGAAAGGTGAAGGATCAGAAAGAAACAAGCTTCAATGTGACTATGTGAGCAACTTGTTTCTTGCTTATTAGCCAATTTGAGCAACCTAATAAACTAATCAATCAATTAAAGATATGCTTTTTCGAACATTCAGACTTTCCTAAACTTGCATATCAACATAAATTAGTATTTTGCATCATCACATCTGCTGCAAGGAAAAAAGAAAAGTTTCCAGATTTCACACTTGATACAACCTGTGGCATTTGTTTGACAAGATATAATACAATTAGGGTATGTTTGGAAATCCGGAAAATGATTTCTCCAGTGTTTGGATGTGCCTGGAAAATCAAGTCAACGGAAATCATTTCCGTTGACTTGGGAAAATATGGCTATTTTGGAGGAAAACGACTTCCACCAAAATTTGGCGGAAGTCATTTTCCACAGACCAAAAATGACCACAATCGTTTCCAACCTTGGTTTCCGCCGGAAACCAGAGCTGTGGTTTTCGGCGGAAACCAGAGGGAAACCAGAGCTGCTCTGGTTTCCGGCGGAAACCAGTATTTACTGATTTTCACCGGAAATCAGTTTTTTTATTATTAATTTTTAATAAATAAAATTATTTTTAATATTATTATAAATATTTTTATATTCTAAATAAAACAATTAAAATGTTTAATTATACAATTCTACTCATTTTCTAGAAAATGAACCAAACACACCAAAACAGTTTTCCAGAATGCAACCAAACACTGAAAATAAATCTATTTTCTGGAAAATGACTCATTTTCAAGAAAACATTTTCCATAAGTCATTTTCCTGGTTTTCAAAAACACCCTTAAAAGAAATCAAAACTAAAAACGATAACCATTCTACTAGGTTCCTTAAGTTACAAGATTTGAACAATTATAACCGTTCCAAGAACATTCATGAATATTCCAAATATATGTTGACATAAATGCTGAAAGCAAAAATGAACCCCTAAGAAAACGAATATCATGCATGAACTAGAAGGCAGCATCCACCAGTTAATGCAAACAAAAACCAAGTAATTGGGTAAGAAATTAATTGGTATTCACCTCTAGAAAGAAGCGCCCATCTGGAAGTGGCTCACAACTACACAAAGGCATGAAGTTTATCAACCAATAAGTAAGAACACAAAACATAAGCATTTTGAAGCATGCACGCAAATACGCACACATCTGCACAGAAATATCATGGGAAACACCTACTCTGTGATCTCGACTTCACAACCATATTCAGCTATAGAACCTGTCGCAGAATCAACGATAACCTACATCATTAATGGAATGCCTCAGCATAAACTAGGATGTAACTGAAGCACCAACTATACCTTAAGGAGAATATTTGAAACAGATAATATACCATTCCCATTCGATGATTTCCTTCCATTATCCTCCTCACCTGTTTGAAGAATATATGGAATTCAGTATAAGATCAGTATGACAGTATCATGAAAATTGCCCAAAATAAGAAAAAAACATGCATATAATATTGATCCAAACTTCATTTTCTGCAAGCTGACTTATCTACAACATTTCAAATGTATTGAGATCTGATCCTTGATTCTATCACCTACATCTCATCTTGAGTGAGACAAAGTGATAGGTTGCAAGAGAGATTCAAGTACTCTGCCACAATCACTCTTACAAAAACTGAAAAAGCGGAATTAAAATGGTCATGTTTCATTGAAAACTTAAATTATTTTGTCTATTTCATACAAGTTAATAGGCAATTAATGATTTATTTCAAATATGTGAGACATAAAAATTTTCTTATAATTTTTTTTCCTTTTTGTTAGTTTTTAAAATAAAATCTTACTATCATACTTCAAAAGCACCAAGCAAGACCACAAAATGACTAATGTTATTAAAGCATTCGATAAATATTACTCCATATTTATGAAGCGAAAACTGGTTAGTAGAATATTTTCAAGTAAAACTCTTGAAAAACTGCACTCACCATAAGTCTATAACGTGGCTCAAAAATGTTGAGGTGAAACTTCTGGCATGGTAGAACAACATCCATTACAAAAAGAGGCAGCAAATCAACACCGAGATTTATCAAACTATCATTCTCTGCTTTTCTTTCAGCATACTCCTCAGGAAAATTCTTCTGGATGATGTTATTCAGTGTCACACTAAAGACATAGAAGATAGAATGGTTGGTCTCAACAATAGAAAAGTAGCTCCATTACTTCATTTAGGTTCATGAAATTAAGCATGTTGGCTATCCACTATAAGTTCTAATTCCATAAATTACTCACCTGATTGAACATGTTCTAGGACTAATAAAAAGCACCGTCCGGCACAATGGACATCTGTTACCTAATTTTTTTCAGTCACAGTTAAACGAAAGAAATATATGGACGGTAATACAAATACATGGAGAGAGATGGGCTAAAAATTAGCATGATCTAAATGGCAAAGAAATAAGGAGATATAAGTTGACTTTACATCGATCCATTGATTGAAAGAGGCATGAGCGGCAAAATGAATGCCCACAGGGCGTTGTTATTGGTTCATACAATAACTTTAAGCAAAGGGTGCAATCAAAATCATCACTGCGCTCTGGTCTTTCATGGATTCTCCGTCCAACAGTTAAACTGACGAATCTCTCTAACTCCTGAAGAGGCTTGCTAGATACAGTCATACAGGAAATAAAAGAAATTCATTTTATTAGTTAGCTACTAAAAAGAAAGTGATATAAATGTTCAATATAACTCATGATACCAATATAAATAATACATAAAAACAAAATGAAACAAAAATCCACAGAAACTTTTCTTGTTACAATGCTACATTACCTTAATGGATCTATCTGAAGGCCTGAATATATTACATCTTGGGCATGCCCATATTTTTCTAGCTGCCAATCATTTTAAAAATGGGCATCATCATACAAAAGAGTTAAGTACTAACAACCTTGCAAATACAAGCAGTGAATGCATGCTCATTCTCCCCATGCCTATCAAAAGATTACTGAAATAAATTTATATAAAAATAATAATAATAATAATAATAAAATAATTTAAAAAAAAAAAAACACAATAGTAATAGTGCAGCTTGTTTGTGTCATTGTGTGTGTGTGTGTGTATATATATATACCCATACATATAAATTATGCTACAGAAGAAAAGAAAGCAATGTCACTCGTACGAATAAGCTCTAAGTCAGCTCATCATGCTAGATGGACCGCTCACACAACATAAGTTAACTTGCAACCATGTTCCTTCTACGCCATTCTAAGTCATGCATGTGTCTACTTGGTTTCTTTTTTAACATAGTTTTTGTTTAATTGGATTTTGCTCTTCATATCAAAATCATATCCTCACCAAAATGAGTGCATTTGCCTTCAATATGTAGGATGTTAACGAATTGCTCCTCAAAGCCACCACTTTCTCAGCATCCTTCAATGCAAGCTGAAATTAAAAGTAAAATCTTAAGCAATGCACACACCTTGGAGGTTAATGATTATTAAACACACGAGCAACAGCTCATACCCCAGCATGTGTTGTAGGATCCAGCCCACTCAATGGCCTAAATTCTGAATCTGATGAAGATCTATTCTTCAGAAACTGGCTAAACCTATAACAAATATGCAGTTATCAATTGTTATCAGAATAGCGAAATCCATCACTTTGTTCAACAAGTCCATTCAACCAGAACACAATGGAGTTTAACTAGCACGGATGATGTAATCACATCATTTTGGAACAGCAGAATCGAGTGGGCGAAAATGGCATTAGAGTGTGTATTTGCATAAGAAAAGAATATGCAAAACAAAATATACCTCAGGTATGAAGCACATCTATTGCTAAGAATGATACAATCATTCGGTTTAATATTGTTAGCTTTGGAGTAGCAATTGATTGCCTGGCAAAATGGAAAGCGTATGAGAAAAGTAGACCTCAAGCAACTAGAGAATTCAATTTGGAGTTATCAAAAATACATCCATGCACAAAATGGTTACCCATGTTTAAAAAAAAAAAAAAAAAAAACAAGTTTTCATGTTAAAGCAGTAATTGTCGGGGTAATGGTAAATTATATTATTATCCCAAATACTACAGATACATGGGGCATACCCCGGTCCAAAAGGAAATACAAGATACACCATTTTAAAAGCCTATATTCGGAAAGAAGAAAAGCCTAGACGGGAAGTTCATAGTGAGGTGGATGGACACTATTTCATCAAAGGAGAAATAGAGAAAGGAGTAATTCTATCAGAGTAGGATGTTAAGGATAAGAAGTTAAGAACAGTAAACTACTACTTCATAACAACTTCTAGTATATCATCAAGCCCACAAAAATAACACCTTGCCCCCATTTTCAGAGTATCAACCACTTTGACTAAAAATTCAATCTACCCGTGAACCATGAGTGATGCTCAATTTCAAAATTAATGTCTCATCAATTCCATTGGATTTGCAAACCAATTTGACACCCAGATTACATTTCCAGAAAGGAAACAAAACCAATTTTGCTCATTTCCCAGTGCATTCGTTTTATGGATCAGGGTGCATGAATTGCAAATAAAGTTCCCTTCCTTAACTACATATAAAGATTTCGGTTCAGTACAAAATTCAGTAATTACTCATCATAGATTCATAGGAACACTGATTGGACCACAGAGAGAGATAAATTCACCTCATCCAGTCTGTTCTCCCGGAAGGCGGTGTTCCCCATCTGCATAAGATCGTACAGATGACTGAATCGGTCCCAGGACATGGACGACTCTCCTTCATTCGCCTGCATTCAAACAAAACCCAAACCTCCATTTTCTTCATACATTCAATAATCTCAAACTCATTTTTAAAAATAAATAAAAATTCACCCATGGAAAATCCTGGACATCGTCTATTCCTTCCAAGCTCGGTCCCGACGAGGACGACGATGAAGCCACGCCCCGCATTCTCACTGACTAACACCAACTACAGAGACACGGGCACGGAAGAGAAGAATATCAAAAACCCCAATTCTAAGCAGGGGCAGATGGGATTAAATGGCACTGACGCAGTGTTACAGAGCGCGCAGCATCGTGTTCTCCTCTGTATCCTTCGTTAACAAATGGACCTTATTCGTTTACGTGGTCTAACTTTCTCACCAAACAAATGGGTTTTGTCTACCCTCTCTCTCTCTCTCTAGAAAAGTCCCATCAGTCTTGGCAGAGCTTTCGTTCTCAATCTCAGGCCAGCCCGGAAATTTAGAGAGGCTAAATTTACTCAAAAATCTATGTATCTATCCTCTTCATATCATCATCCTTCCTCAACTCCCGGCTTAGCTTCTGCCGCGTGACATACTCATATTTATTGGGTGGTATGACTTTGAGTCAACCCAACCCACTCTCTATGCAACTCAACTTTATGGTAGGTCCGTGTACTAATAGAAAACTGTTCTGTGTTTTTTGTTTTTTAATTTTTTTTAATTTTCATTCTCTGTTTTTTATTTAAAAAATTTGTTTACTAACACAAAACTATTTTCTATTTTTATTTTTTAATTTTTCAGTTTTCACTTAAAATTTAATATAGATAATATTAACATTTTTTGAACTAATATTTAATTTTTATTTTTTTTTTTGGATATATCCATTTGAATGACATGTTTATGAATATATAACTTTTACTTTATGTGCGATTTCAATATCCGATATCTGGATCGAACTTGTATTATGATTTAACATAATTAAAAATATTCAAACTAATAATCTAGTAAGTTCAATCAAAATCTAAAACATTATATAGAGTTCAATTCTTAATTTTGATAATGTAAATAATGTCTAACTTTAAAGTGTAAGCAAAAAAATTATGTTTAAATAAGTAAAATAAGTATAAAAGATAGCAGATAGTGACAAGTAAAATATAAGATGATAATAAATGTAATCATAATAATGTGGTTATACTGATATATAACTAAATAGATGATAAATGATTCTGTTTTTCATTTTGAAAACAGTTTTTAAGTGTTTAGTTTTCGAGAAATTTTCAGAAATTATTTTCAATTTTCAAAATGGAAAACTGTGTTAATAAACATGTTTTCTGTTTTCTATTTTTCAGTTTCTAAAAATTTTCAGAAATTTCCAGTTAGTAAACGGCCCCACTGTTTGAACATTTTTTCCTCTATTTCTTGTAAAAAGTGAAAATTAATACTCCGTATTAAGTGTTGAAAAATTTTTATTTTTAGGACTCTAACCATTATATATGAATAACATTTGATTTTTGACTATTAAACTTTTCTAATTAGGTATATGATTATGAAATTTGTATCATATTTGATCTTACCGTTTAATTTCCTAGCCAATTATTGTTAAAAGTGTTCCTTTCGGAATGAGTACTTCCGGAAGGAGCACTGCATTTGCTTTTTTCGAAAGAAACACTTTCGATAATAGTTGGCCGAAGAATTGAACAACATGACCAAATACGATACAAATTACATAGTCATACACCTAATTAGAAAATTTTAATAGTCAAGGAACCAAAAGTAAAATATATTTTTAACTGTCCATCAAGATTCATTAGTAGTCAAGAGTTTTAGTAAAAAAAAAAAATACGTAACCAATTTTATAATTATTAAAAGAGAAAATATTTGATGCACTTCTGTTGTATAACACCTATACACCGGCGGTGAACTAAAACATGACACGTCATTTTAAAAAGCAAAATCAAAGTTGACCAAGTCTCTTTTAGCAAATTATAATAATTTTTTTTGGAAATAAAGGTCAAATAGGTCATCGAACTGCACACGATAATGCAATTAGACCACTGAGCCTTAAAAACCTACAATTGAATCCGTAAACTAACCAATTTCATACAATTTATCCAATTTGCAAGTTTCTAACAGGTCACCCCAAATTTAAAATACTTTTTTTTTAAAATATTTTTTACAAAATAATTATTTAAAAAATAAAAATAATAAAACAAGACTTCCACCTTCTTCGTCTCCGCCTAGAGACGAAGAAGCTCTTCGTTTTTTCGTCTCCGATCATGGAGACGAAGACCTGTTTTTTTTTTTTTTAAATAATTAGTTTTAAAATTTATTTTTAAAAAGTATTTTAAAATTAGGTTGACATGATAGAAACCAGCAAATTGCATTATGATATGCACTTTGATGGCTTATTTGACTCTTATTCCTTCTTTTTGAAAACCAAAAGAGAGAAATTGCATTAACCAAGAAGATGTGAAATACAAGTAGCAAATTATAATAATTCTTAATATAGAATAATTAATTAATTAATTTAAAAGCTAATTATTTAATATAACTAGTATTTGCCCCCGTGCGATGCACGGAATGGATTTGTTGTAATATATTAAGAATATTTGGATTGATATATAATTTTTTAAATTAGAACATCAAATATTATATAGTGCAAAGAAGATGTGATTTGAATTATTTATTTGTTTTGATGTTATCGTTGCTTGAATTAGAGCAAATAATTGGTCAAATTAATAGCTAATGTGTAGATGTATGCATGTGGTGCTGTAATTTTAGAGATTTTATTTATCACAATTTAGTTTTTTTTTTTATAAATTAGGCAAATGTCCATTCCTAATTTTTATTTCTTTTTCCATTTTAATTTTAAGTCAATTATTAATATTCATTTCATTTTCCAATTTACATAATTTTCGTTCAATTTTTAATTGATGATGTAGAATATTATTGTGACATATTAATATTTATTTTTTTAGTTTACGTTCCTTTTTTAATTTACTTTTAGTATTTAGTATTGTTTGGGTGAGAAATTAAGTAAATATGATTTTGTTTTTAATTATAAATGTAGATTATTTATTTATTTATTTATTTTTATTATTATTATTATTATTATTATTATTATTATTATTATTATTATTATTATTATTATTAAGTTAATTTCGTTTCTTTTTTCAATTTTCCTTTTCTATTGTTTGGGAAACAAATGTTTGAGCAAGAATGAAAGAAGGAATTTGTTTTTAATAATAAGTATCGATAGATTGTTGGTTTAATTATCATAATAATTATTAGTCAATTATACTAAAGATGCGTTTGAAAACTCGAAAAATGATTTCATAAATCATTTTCTGGGTGTTCAGTTTTGGCTTGAGAGGGAAGTTTTCTTGAAAATGACTTCCCCTGTTGTTTGGAGGAAGTCATTTTTCATTTTTTCGTTTGCAGCAGTGTCACTGAATACAACTAAAACTTATGTTGCATGAAATTTAAAATAAAAGTTGTTATATAATAAACCAAACAGTAAAAATGTTTATATATATATATATATATATATATATATATATATATATATATATATATATATATATATATATATATATATATATATAACAATTAAAATATTTAAGTATACAATTTTACTCATTTTCCTGTTTATTTTATAATAAAAGAACGAAATACAAAAAGACATTTTCTGAAAAATGACTCAAATGCACAAAGATAATTTTCCAAATACACAAAGACATTTTTCAAACATTTTCAATGTGGGATCCACGTCATTTTACAAAGGGGAGCCACAGGCTCTCCTTTGCCTTTTTGTTTTTAAATTTAAATTTATTTTGTATATAGTTTTGTTTTGATTATTATTATTATTATTATTATTATTATTATTATTATTATTATTATTATTATTATTATTATTATTATTATTATATTTATAATATTATTATTGTAATTTTATTTTATTATTTCATTATTACATAATAATAATATAAATTTTCTTTTAGACAATTTTCTGCTATGCAGCCAAACATTTAAAAAAAAGTTTTCTGAAAAATAACTTATTTTTCAGAAATCATTTTCGTACTTTTGAAACGAACTTTAATATCAATACAATTAATTTGTTAAATGGCATAATATTATTATTAGATAATGGCCTTGTTTGATTATTGACAAATTCGCCAAAATTGTAACAAATTCGTCATTTTAACATTTTGTCTTTAATCAAAACATAAAAAATATTATTTAATAACTCAGTAATTTGCTCCAAACTACCAAAATCTAAAACAACACATACATTTTGGGTTAATCTTTTCCAAACCCCCCCCCCCCCCCCCCCCCCCTTAAAAAAAAAAAACTAAAATAAGAATCCATGAAGCTAAGACTTCTTAAATAAGAGCCTTTTTGACTTCTCAATACTTAGAATATATTTGCAACGAATTTATAGTTGAGATTATTTCATATAACAGTGCCAGCCCGTGACCCATTATATTATTCTGCCAACTCCAGTGAAGGTTTTTGTGCTTTGTTAGATGAAATGTGAGATTATAGATGAGGGAGGAAAACTAAATTATTGAGTAATAATTTAATATTTTAAAATTGAAAAGAAGAAATGGGTCACGGCTTGAACTTCCATATAGCGCTCAATGAGCGTGTAATTTTCATGGGACACGTTAGAGTGGTTGCCACATTGTTTTTTTTTTTTTTTTAATGTATTTAGTTTTTGTATTTTAAAGCTTGCAAAGTTCATATAATAAAAGGTCCCTAAAAGAAAAAGAACTTACCAAAAATAAATCAAATCATTGGTATTACCTTCTTTTAAAAAAATTGGTATGAGCTAGTGAATAATATATATGAAACATTGAAACTTGACTTCTAATATTTTTTGTGCTCAGGCTATTTGAACTCAACTTGAATAAATTTAATAAATATTAGCTTTACAAATAGAAGGATTTTGTTTTTATATATACGTATAGATTTTTTAAATTTATTAATTAAGTGCATAATTTTTTTTTATATTATATTATTTTCAACTTTTACCAGATTAGATTGTCGCAGAAGATGGTCATGATTCAATCCTTAATTTTAAAACTTTCTATATATGTGATTTTGAGATATATATATATATATATATATATATATATATATATATATATATACTAATAATAATATAACTATAATTAAATAATCTTCTATATTCTATTACCATCATTAATTACTAAATAGTTTACCATAATTAAATATTTTGACCAATACAATGACAATTTGGATTACATATATATGCATTTATGTTTAGGCATGAATAAAGATAATAATAATATATTTATTTAATCTATATAATAATATGTTTGGTAAGCTTTGGTATTAGGAAGTAACGCAAAAGACAATTTGGATTACATATATATACATTTATGTTTAGGCATGAATAAAGGTAATAATAATATATTTAATCTATATAATAATATATTTGGTAAGTTTTGGTAAGTAAGCAAGTATACAATATACATATACACGTATAAGATATATAAATTGGATGATGTTACAAAAATACTCTTAAGTTTGGGGGGAAAACTTAGC